CGATCCCTTGAGGTGAGCCCCGCCCCTTCCCCCTCCCATCAGTCATCCCCCCCTCCCAGGCGTCCCGTTCCTCTGAGCCAGGCCCCGCCCCCTGACCAAACCCCGCCCCCAGGCTGGGTCATAGGTTCCTGATTCCTGCCCCCTGGGAGCTCAGCCTGTGACGTGCTATGCGGCTGACTTGTTGTTGCCTGTGAGATAGCGATGTGCTCCCTGTCAGCGAGGCTCGTCTCGCAATAACTGCAGAACTGGTTCGACTTCGCCCACCTAAGCTTAGGGTCTCTGAGGTCAATCACTCACCGCTGTCCCCCCTAGGCCCCCCTGGAGTTGCGAGTGTGGTAACAGCTGACCCACTGCAGCAGTCTGAGTGACTGTGCTCTCTGGCTCCCTCACAGGCAGCAGGAGGCGGAAGGAGGGGGGCCTGATTGACTGAGACCAGCATGGAAGATTCTGATGGGGACCTGTCCATTCAGAGAGATGCTATCTTGTCTGAGTTATATCATATTCAGCTCACCACCAAGAAACTGTGAGTCTCCCTGGGTTGAAGGGGTCAGTACTCAGCCATAGAGTTGTCAAGGAGCAAGCAGCTTTTAGAGCTTGGGAACTTTTCCTTTTTGGTGAGACTCTTGGTGAGGCAATTTAACTCACCAGCTGTGGTGAACTACCAGTTTTGAAAGAAACCCTTATGTAGCTGGGTTTGCTCTTTTCTTCTTCATATAGTTTAGAGCAGTGTTTCTCAAACTGTGCTCTGCAGAGCCCCAGGGCTCCGCAAGACATCTCCAGGGGCTCCGCGAAGTTGACAAACTGGAAACATCGATAGGTACAACACATACAATCAGTGGACCGCTGGGGCTCCGCAACATACAATCAGTGGACCGCTGAGGCTACACATAAATTTTTATGCATGTAAAAGGCTCCGGAGCCCAAAAAGTTTGAGAACCACTCGTTTAGAGGATTGCAGTTGTTTCTGCAAATGCTATTGCACTAACTACTATGACTGTAAAGTGTCACAGGGCCAGATTTTTCTAGTGTTCATTTTCCACTTCAAGTAAAGGCTGTATTTTCAAGTGTGTCTGTTGTGACACGTGACCAGTTTTTCAAAGGAGTGCAGGACCCAATGTGTCTTTTATTTTGGTACCTAACTGGTTACAGGTTTTCAAAATCTGTTCCCAGTTATGAGTGCTTAGCTCTTTTGAAATCTGGTCCATAGTATTCTCCACTCTGCCCTGCAAATTTTACCACCATGGGTGTAGTGTGCAGTGCTACTAATGGTTACTAATTTGTTACTCATACCGATCACGTTGATTTTGATCTCTGCCTCTGCTAAAATTCTCTTTTCATTTAACAAATCCAATTTTTGATGGGTTATTTTGTAGCCACAGAAAACTAAAAAGAAAAAAAATAAACCTGTTTTTTTCCCCCTTTCCCATTGAACTCATAGGCTAGGACCATGATTTTGACATTATGACCTGAGTTTCTTTGTTGATGTCTATCTCAGCAGAAAGTGCATTGTTCTTTTTCCAACCTAAATCCCAGAAATGTCTGAAGGTTTTTCTCTGCGTAGGTTCATGTCAAAAATAGGAATCAGTGCCTCAATTGGAAGATGATTCACAAATGTGCTTACTGTACCTTTTAAAATAAGAAATTTCCCACCTTGTGACGTAGATATTTGTTTTCTAGGGTGCAGGACCTGAGATCTTTGGTGGCTTTAACTGACCCAGAGGAAGGGAAACTGTTTCAGTCTCAAGAGACAGTGAGTGACTAGCACACTTTCCATGCCTGTTTTCAGTCTTCATTGAGAACCTGTATTTATATAGTTTAGGGTAATCTTTTTTCCCATGTCTCTCTCAATATAGATATCTAAATAAAAAGGGAGGGGGAAAAACCCTGAATTGTTAATTAAAAGTAGCGTACTGGTAATAACAAAAGCCTATTTTTAATTAGTCCTGTATTCTGAAATAAGCCTGCATATGTGTATTAATTGTTCACATTTGTGCACAAAAGCATGGTTTTATTTCCAACAAAAATTTATCAAGTCACAGAATGAGGTACATCTACCTGAGACTTCTAGTAATATGACTTCATACTATACAAAATGTCAATTATGTTCAATATTTGTTGAAATAATAATCACAGTATTTTTAAAATACCACAGTGGCTGCAGCAATCCCTTTCCTCAATGAGTCCTGAGAATATTCAGCTCAGAATGGAGCAGGAAACAGTATCTTCACACTAGTTCTTCCCTGTTTCATTTGCAGCATTTCTTAAGTCACACAATATTCCATGGCTGTGAATTGCTGTAATGTGAACAGAACATCCTCTTCTAATGTGGTCCTTGTTTCCCAGATGAATTTATACTTGTTCCTTCTCATTCCAGGCCTTAAAATCACTGGATATTTGGAAGACCTTATTTGCTGCAGCTGAGCCCAAGGAAGAGAGCACAGTTGAGTAATAGCCCAAAGATGGGAGATGAAGGTGCTGGTGAGCCCTTTATGGGTATAGTGACTGGTGGGGACAAAGATTATGAGGGCACTCTACCTTCTGACACAGTTTCACTCAGTGATTCAGACTCTGAAGACTTTGGCTTAGCAGATGAAGCGGAAGTCGATACAGTTTCTCCAGAAAAACCACCATCCTTGGATGATGTAGGTTATGGCTCAGATGAGATCCTTGAGTCTTCAAACAATCTTAAGTCTCCTGTCCAGCCATTCCATCTGAAAGGCATGAGCTCTACGTTCTCGCGGCGAAGCCAGAGCATATTTGATGGCCTGGAAGGGGCAGCCAAATTAGCAGTGCCCTCAATGAGTGAAGATAACATTATTGATGGGAGGTTTAAGCGTCCTCTGCCTCCACCCACTCTTTCAAGCAAGATGGTTGCAGAGAGCCTTGGAAGGCAAAGCAAGCCACCCCCAGCTTCCAAAAGCAGTCCAGCAGTCCCTGACTACATGGCACATCCAGAACGTTGGACCAAGTACAGTCTGGAGGTAGCTCGCAATAACTGCAGAACTGGTTCGACTTCGCCCACCTAAGCTTAGGGTCTCTGAGGTCAATCACTCACCGCTGTCCCCCCTAAGGTCTTGCCCTGGAGTTGCGAGTGTGGTAACAGCTGACCCACTGCAGCAGTCTGAGTGACTGTGCTCTCTGGCTCCCTCACAGGCAGCAGGAGGCGGAAGGAGGGGGGCCTGATTGACTGAGACCAGCATGGAAGATTCTGATGGGGACCTGTCCATTCAGAGAGATGCTATCTTGTCTGAGTTATATCATATTCAGCTCACCACCAAGAAACTGTGAGTCTCCCTGGGTTGAAGGGGTCAGTACTCAGCCATAGAGTTGTCAAGGAGCAAGCAGCTTTTAGAGCTTGGGAACTTTTCCTTTTTGGTGAGACTCTTGGTGAGGCAATTTAACTCACCAGCTGTGGTGAACTACCAGTTTTGAAAGAAACCCTTATGTAGCTGGGTTTGCTCTTTTCTTCTTCATATAGTTTAGAGCAGTGTTTCTCAAACTGTGCTCTGCAGAGCCCCAGGGCTCCGCAAGACATCTCCAGGGGCTCCGCGAAGTTGACAAACTGGAAACATCGATAGGTACAACACATACAATCAGTGGACCGCTGGGGCTCCGCAACATACAATCAGTGGACCGCTGAGGCTACACATAAATTTTTATGCATGTAAAAGGCTCCGGAGCCCAAAAAGTTTGAGAACCACTCGTTTAGAGGATTGCAGTTGTTTCTGCAAATGCTATTGCACTAACTACTATGACTGTAAAGTGTCACAGGGCCAGATTTTTCTAGTGTTCATTTTCCACTTCAAGTAAAGGCTGTATTTTCAAGTGTGTCTGTTGTGACACGTGACCAGTTTTTCAAAGGAGTGCAGGACCCAATGTGTCTTTTATTTTGGTACCTAACTGGTTACAGGTTTTCAAAATCTGTTCCCAGTTATGAGTGCTTAGCTCTTTTGAAATCTGGTCCATAGTATTCTCCACTCTGCCCTGCAAATTTTACCACCATGGGTGTAGTGTGCAGTGCTACTAATGGTTACTAATTTGTTACTCATACCGATCACGTTGATTTTGATCTCTGCCTCTGCTAAAATTCTCTTTTCATTTAACAAATCCAATTTTTGATGGGTTATTTTGTAGCCACAGAAAACTAAAAAGAAAAAAAATAAACCTATTTTTTTCCCCCCTTTCCCATTGAACTCATAGGCTAGGACCATGATTTTGACATTATGACCTGAGTTTCTTTGTTGATGTCTATCTCAGCAGAAAGTGCATTGTTCTTTTTCCAACCTAAATCCCAGAAATGTCTGAAGGTTTTTCTCTGCGTAGGTTCATGTCAAAAATAGGAATCAGTGCCTCAATTGGAAGATGATTCACAAATGTGCTTACTGTACCTTTTAAAATAAGAAATTTCCCACCTTGTGACGTAGATATTTGTTTTCTAGGGTGCAGGACCTGAGATCTTTGGTGGCTTTAACTGACCCAGAGGAAGGGAAACTGTTTCAGTCTCAAGAGACAGTGAGTGACTAGCACACTTTCCATGCCTGTTTTCAGTCTTCATTGAGAACCTGTATTTATATAGTTTAGGGTAATCTTTTTTCCCATGTCTCTCTCAATATAGATATCTAAATAAAAAGGGAGGGGGAAAAACCCTGAATTGTTAATTAAAAGTAGCGTACTGGTAATAACAAAAGCCTATTTTTAATTAGTCCTGTATTCTGAAATAAGCCTGCATATGTGTATTAATTGTTCACATTTGTGCACAAAAGCATGGTTTTATTTCCAACAAAAATTTATCAAGTCACAGAATGAGGTACATCTACCTGAGACTTCTAGTAATATGACTTCATACTATACAAAATGTCAATTATGTTCAATATTTGTTGAAATAATAATCACAGTATTTTTAAAATACCACAGTGGCTGCAGCAATCCCTTTCCTCAATGAGTCCTGAGAATATTCAGCTCCGAATGGAGCAGGAAACAGTATCTTCACACTAGTTCTTCCCTGTTTCATTTGCAGCATTTCTTAAGTCACACAATATTCCATGGCTGTGAATTGCTGTAATGTGAACAGAACATCCTCTTCTAATGTGGTCCTTGTTTCCCAGATGAATTTATACTTGTTCCTTCTCATTCCAGGCCTTAAAATCACTGGATATTTGGAAGACCTTATTTGCTGCAGCTGAGCCCAAGGAAGAGCGCACAGCTGAGTAATAGCCCAAAGATGGGAGATGAAGGTGCTGGTGAGCCCTTTATGGGTATAGTGACTGGTGGGGACAAAGATTATGAGGGCACTCTACCTTCTGACACAGTTTCACTCAGTGATTCAGACTCTGAAGACTTTGGCTTAGCAGATGAAGCGGAAGTCGATACAGTTTCTCCAGAAAAACCACCATCCTTGGATGATGTAGGTTATGGCTCAGATGAGATCCTTGAGTCTTCAAACAATCTTAAGTCTCCTGTCCAGCCATTCCATCTGAAAGGCATGAGCTCTACGTTCTCGCGGCGAAGCCAGAGCATATTTGATGGCCTGGAAGGGGCAGCCAAATTAGCAGTGCCCTCAATGAGTGAAGATAACATTATTGATGGGAGGTTTAAGCGTCCTCTGCCTCCACCCACTCTTTCAAGCAAGATGGTTGCAGAGAGCCTTGGAAGGCAAAGCAAGCCACCCCCAGCTTCCAAAAGCAGTCCAGCAGTCCCTGACTACATGGCACATCCAGAACGTTGGACCAAGTACAGTCTGGAGGGAGTTTCAGAGTCTAGTGATAAGACCAACAGGATGGCTGCTATGGAGTTCCTAGAGGGTTTGAAGAAGAAAGGAGAAGAACAAAGCTCAGCTACTGAAGACAGCTACACTCCATATTTCAACCAGGACCCTTCCAGCTATGGTGCTGGAAGGATAATCTTTACCAAACCCACAAAAACAGGCATGCATGGTTCAGACAAAAGATCACCAGAGGAGGATGGTAAGAAGCTTATGAACACAATGCAAAGTCTGAATCAGAAATCTCCCAAGAAGACCAGTTACCTGAGTGAGGAGGATAAAATTGAGCTGGGCCATTTAGACTGTGAAGGGAAGAAGATGATGGAGGAAGAGGAGTGCTTGAAGTTGGAGAATTCGGGTACAAAAAGACAACATGAAACAGTTTCTACTCACACAGGTGAAGATGATTTGGTGGAAACTGTAGGGTTTCATGGGAGTAAGAAAAGGAGTAGGAAGCATTTCCGTCTCAAAGCAGACCATGAAGAGGCTGAAGAGTCTTGAAAGAGAGAAACAAACTAGACCCATCCAGGTGCTTCAGTGATATAAGGCTACCTTTGTTTTCTCCCTCTTGGCTCATATCTCACTAATGGGGCAGGGGCAGGCTTTTGTCTAGCACTCAGTTTTACGGTTTCCAGATATGCTATTTTGAATGTGTTTGTCAGAAATTAAGGCACCAAAACCCCATCCACAGACTGGTTGTTGCAGGAAACAGTGTGGATTCAGCACAGTCCTTGGAGTAGAGAGTGTAGTGTATTCTCTTGAGCAAGCCCCTTTAACTGACACTGGTGCAGTGTCGAGTCCTTGACCACACAGATAGGCTACCTTAACTCAAGTATGCCAACAAGAGAATGAGGATACAAGAGGACCACCTTCCTTTACCTACCTACCCTCCCATCCTCTGAAAAATGTAGAACCCTTTGGCCAGCGTTGTAGAAGTGGGGAGTCAAAAGAGATAAGGAATGAAGATGAGTACACGAGAGAGACTTTTAAAGTATTAAAAAACAAAGACTAGTAGGATTAAGTCAATATCCTAATTCCCTACTTTGGGGTGGGAAACATTCCCTTAATGTGTATGTCCCTAACTGGGATCATGTGAGGCAAAGATTGAGACAAGCTTGTGCCACTGAAAATAAAAATGCAATAAGTAACTGGCCATACACTTGAGAGGGCAGAGTCAGGTGGCAGATTAAATAGTTTTTAAGGTAGTCTGAGTATCTTCCCTTTGTTACTTTTTAAGGTATCTTATTTGGCAAAAGTTTAAAAGAAAATTGAGGCCAGTTGAGAGAAAACATATCTGGAAACACTTTAGCCATTACATGCTTGAAGTAGCCTCAACAATTTCTCAATTTGCTGAGTGTACAATTGGAATTTGTGTGACAGCCTACTGATTGGTCAAGAGCCACCATCTTTTACCCTCAGTGCTTGTGTTGTGGTTTCACCTCCATAAGTTGTCGTGCTTCTATTTGGACTTGTAAGTGGACTAATTGGAAGGCAAGAATTTGCAGCAGAAATGGGTCAATAAAGAGATACCTTTTAGACTTTGGATGTCAATAAAAATATTCAGTTGTAATTTGGTTTCTGGGTCTGTCTTCCACCTATAGGTATATTAACATCAAATACAACTAGGAATATTAGTAGTGAAGTATAGGCAAAGTTTCATTTGGCAAGCTGGGATTTCAGGTAAGAATTTGGGAGGAATTTACTCTAAATATGTAGAGGTGATTCCCCTCCCTCCCTCTTTTACTTGGTCTTACTACTAAAGGTTTTTTTGTAATATTGAAATAGCTTTAAAAGTGCAAATGGAATCATTAAAACAACTACAATGAATATTAAACTTGTACATGGCACTTTGCAGACACTTGTGAAGCAGGTTAGTAAATACTAACATTGCCTCTGATTAGATAAGAGAAAACTGATGTTGAAAGGTGACATTCTTAATGACCAGTCTGTGGACCAGAACTAGTCCCTGAGTGGTCCCGTACAGTTTAGGAACACAGCAAGCCAGTCCTTGGTAGCAGAAAGGTGGAGAAACTGCTCAAGAACAGTGTTTCTTAAAGTATGTTCCGCAGAACACTGGTGTTCCATGAACAACTCGCAGGTGTGCCGCAACCTCTTTTTTTGGTTTTGTTACTACTTTGAGAGTGAGGGAGGGGTTATGACACACACAAAAAAATTTTAAAAATTTTTTGGAAGAAAATTGTCATAGATGTTCCTAGGGTATTTTCTTGGCAGCTGACAGAAGCCCGCTTGGTACATGCAACAATTAAAGGGGCCGTGACCACATTTTAGTCCGACCTCCTGAGGTTTCCCTGGTTACTCCCCCCGGTGCTTTTTTTTCCCCCTCAACAAATTTTCCCTAGTGCTGCCTCTTAGTTTCTTAAAAAAAATAAATAAATAAATCTGGCAACCTAAGGTGTTCCGCATTAAAAAACATTATTTTGGTGTTCCATGGTCTCAAAAAGTTTAAGAAATGCTGTTCTAGAAGATGGCATATTGCTAGGGCAATTTGGCTTAATTTTATCTTGACTAATGTTCTAAATTAACACTTTAATAATATACAGTTAATCAATTAAGGTGTAATATCTATAACTGGGCAGTAAAAGGCCATTTCTTCTTTCCTTGGAATCTGCAGCTTCCCTAAATTCATGTATTTTAATTAGAAAAACATTGGTTAAGCCCTCATGCAAATTTAGCAATATTACTGATAGGATGCTTGAAATCTCTATAGAAACTTACTGCCTGCAGGACAGGAACCAGGGCTGCTTTTGTCAGAGTATGTGGTTGATGGTTCCAGAAACAAATAACAAGGTACAATGAGTAGAGGATGGGGCAACAGTGCCAGGCTTATGAAATGTGCCTTGTCCAGGACAAATTGGCTTGGAGTGCAACAATGAGAGTCTATGGGCATTAATAGGACATAGCCAAATACACACATTTTGCTGATTTGAAGGGGACATGTAGAACTTTGGATAAGAGGTATAACTTTCACACTTGTCGCTATATATTTTGATTGCAAAATAAGCACCTGAATTCATTGATGACATCAGAAGTGGCAGAAACTATTTTGGGTTGACAAATTAAGACTGCATGCTATGTACAAAGTGTCCCTAAAATGGTAGCTATTGGCTTCATCTCTCTATCAGTACAACAAAAAAAAACTATTGTAGCATAGATGCCAAAATCTACTCCCCTGTGTAGACCACTGAGGTGTGATACAGCAGATTTCAAAATAAGATGAGGAAACTCGTATAGTGGGATATCTTTAACTAATTTCCATTAATAAAAACAACTTGTTTTTGAGTATAAAAGGCATTCAAACCTGTTCTGTTTTTGTGGATGGAGTGGCAGGAAGGTAGGTTCTGAGATCAAGAAATCTGACTACAGATATGTGCAACTTACCAGGATCAACACTTATGGTACACAGGAGCCTACAGGTATATTTTACAGAAAATCCAATTTAACCCCTATCTAGCGAAGAAATCCAGTACGTTTTGCCAATATTGGTATATCTACATCCAAAAATTTGGGCACTATCTCTACAAAATTACAGTAAGAGAACTTTTTAAGTGGTAAAATTCAGTTTATTTGTGTATACTGTCTCATACAAAAGTTTAACAGTTTCATACCCAGTTAGCCTACGTAGGCAAATACACTTGTATTTTTGACATGATTTACTTTTTTACCCAGTTAGCCTACGTAGGCAAATAAAATCATGTCAAAAATACAAGTGTAATATTAATTACTATAGTGAAAATACAAAAAGTGAAATATCCATAGGCCTAATTTTCTAGGAATTTTTTTTTTTGGTGGAATAAGGTTTCATTTTTTAGAGGTATTAGACAAGACAAATAAGCAAATCAAAAGATTTCTGGGAAGGAAAGAAGGTATTCCAACTTCTGAAACTGCATTGGGAGAGTTTCTGTTACCCATTATTAAAGCAAAAGTGTAGCATGCAGGGAGCATAGTGAATAGAATTGAGGGGAGTGGAATAGTTACATGCTTTGGATTTTGAAATGGACAACATGCCTGTGAAGACTTGAGGACAAAAGATGTTTCAATTCCTGCATCTATGAGTAGGTAGGGCTAAGGAAAAGGAGTTAATTGAACATAGTCAAGATGAGATGCTGGAAAGTAGAACCATTTAGAGATGAGACAAACTATCAGTGCAAAAACCTCTTCTCTGCTGTTGAAGCTCTGGATTCTTTACATAGGCTAGGGAGAAGGCTTTCTTTAGACAACTAAGAAGCTTCCAGATCACAAGCCCTGGTTCTCATGGGAACTTGAATCACCCTGACATCTGTTGGGAGACCAATGCAGCAGTACACAGACAATCCAGGACATTTTTGGAGAATGTTGGGGATAACTTCCTGGTTCAAGTGCTGAGGGAACCAAGTACGGGAAGTAAGTATGGGTGGCAATCTGGGAAGCAGTGATCATGAGACGGTCAGTTTCAGGATCCTGACAAAAGGAAGAAAGGAGCAGAAAAATACACACCATAGACTTCAGAAAAGTAAACTTTGACTCCCTCAGAGAATTGATGGGCAAGATCCCCTGGGATGCTAATATGATGGAGAAAGGAGTCCAGGAGAACTGACAGTATTTTAAACAAGACTTATTGAAGGTACAGGGAACAAACCATCCTGATGCGCACTAAGAAAAGCAATGTGGTAGGTGACCAGCTAGGCTTAACAGTGAAATCCTCTGTGAGCTTAAACACAAAAGAGAAGCTTACAAGAAGTGGAAAAACAAAAGTAAAAAAATATGTAGCACTTTAGAGACTGACAACATAGTTTATTAGGTGATGAGATTTCGTGGGCCAGACCCACTTCTTCAGATCATATTCTGAAAGAATTGACATGACGATATATAACACAGGAATACAATTAAGAAAGTGCTACATTTTTTTCCTTTTGTTTTACCAAGTTCAGACTAACACAGATACCTCTCTATTACTATTCAAGAACAGATGACCAGGGAGGAGTATAAATCTATTACTTGAGAATGCAGGGGTGTAAGCAGGAAGGTGAAACACACTTGGAATTGCAGCTAGCAAGGGATGTGAAAGGAAACAAGAAAGGTTTCTACAGGCATGTTAGCAATAAGAGGGTGATCAGAGAGGGTGTGGGGCCCTTACTGGATGTAGGAGGTAACCTAGTGACAGATGATGTGGGAAAAGCTGAAGTACTCAATGGGCTTTTTTTTTTTTTTTTGCCTGTCTTCACAGACATGGTCAACTCCTAGACTACTGCACTAGGCAACACAGCATGGGAAGGAGGTGGGCAGCCCTGGCTGGAGAAAGAACAAGTTTAGAACTATTTAGAAAAGCTAGACATACACAAATCCATGAGTCTGGATTTAATGCATCTAACGGTACTGAGGGAGTTGGTAGATATCATTGCAGAGCCTTTGACCATTATCTTTGAAAATTTGCGGAGATAAAGAGAGGTCCCAGATGATTGGGAAAAGACCCATCTTTAAAAAAGGGAAGAAGGACAATCCAGGGAACTACAGACCAGTCAGCCTTACCTCAGTCCCTGGAAAAATATTGTAGGGATTCTTAAAGAATCCATTTTGAAGCACTTGGAAGAGGGGAAAGTGATAAGGAATAGTCAACATGGTTTCACCCAGGGCAAGTTGTGCCTGACCAACCTGATTAGCTTCTGTGATGAGGTAACTGGCTCCGTGGACATGGGGAAGTCAGTGGATGTGATATACCTTGACTTTAGCAAAGCTTTTGATACAGTCTCCCACAATATTCTTGCCAGCAAGTTAAGGAAGTATGAATTGGATAAATGGACTGTAAGGTGGCTGGAAAGCTGCCTCAATTGTCAGGCCCAACGGGTAGCGATCAATGGCTTGATGTCTGTCTGGTGGTCAGCTTCAAGTAGAGTGCTCCAAAGATTGGTTCTAGGGCTGGTTTTGTTCAACATCTTTATTAATGACCTGGATGAAGGAATGGATTGCAGCCTCAGCAAGTTTGCAGATGACACTAAGCTAGGGGGAGAGGTAGATACGTTGGAAGGTAGGGATAGGGTCCAGAGTGACCTAGACAAATTGGAGGATTGGACCAAAAGAAATCTGATGAGGTACAACAAGGAAAAGTGTAGAGTCCTGCACTTGGGACGGAAGAATCCCAAGCATTGTTTCAGTCTGTCCCCAGCCTGTTTAAGTAGCAGTTCAGCAGAAAAGGGCCTGGGGATTTCAGTGGATGAGAAACTGGATATGAATCAACAGTGTGCCCTTGTAGCCAAGAAGGCTAATGGCATATTAGGGTGCATTAGGAGGCCCACTGGGGTCCCCCACTATAGAAAGGATGTGGATGCATTGGAGAGGGTCCAGCAGAAGGCAACCAAAATGATTAGGGGACTGGAGCACATGACCTATGAGGAGAGGCTGAATGATTGGGGCTTATTTAGTCTGCAGAAGAGAAGAGTGATGGGGGTTTGATAGTAGCCTTCAACTTCTTGAAGTGAGGTTCCAGAGAGAGGCTGTTCTCAGTGGTGACAACTGGCGGAACAAGGAGCAATGGTCTCAAGTTACAGTGGGGGAGGTCTAAGTTGGATATTAATAAAAACTATTTCACTAGGAGGGTGGTGAAGCACTGGGATGGGTTACCTAGGCAGATGGTGGAATCTCCATCCCTAGAGGTTTTTAAATCCTGACTTGACAAAGCCCTGGCTGGGATGATTTAGGTGGGGTTGGTCCTGCTTTGGGCAGGGGACTGGCCTTGATGACCTCTTGAGGTCTCTTCCAGCCCTAGGATTCTATGATTCTAATTCCTTTAGGCTACGTCTACACTGGCATGATTTTCCGAAAATGCTTTTTGA